ACTACAGCAGCACAATTACACATATCGAACCTTATAGGACAGGCCATCAATTTTACTTCTTATATTAAGAGAGTTGAGTCAGTATCAATAGGTAAGCATATCTTCAGATTATCTTTGACTCCTAGTTACTTTCAGTTATTATATTATCAGTTCAGTTTCAGCTTTCAGTTATTTTGTTGCCTTACATACTAAGTACATTATTTTGTATTGACGTTCATTTTGCCGGGAATGCTGCATTTCATGCCTGCAGATCCTGATAGACAGCTGGATAGACCTTCCTAGTAGACAGAGTCAAACATTAGCTTGATTGGTAAGCTCCACTTCCTCGGAGTTACCAGGTCTAGACCTTGGAATCCATTTTATATATACAGGTTTGATGGGTAGGTCGAGGCTCTGTCCCGACCATGATACAGTTCAGTTATCTCTAGAGGCTTGTAGACGAGTCCTGTGTATTTTGTATATCAGTATTGTAGCCTTGCCAGTCCTGCGTATATGTTCAGTTTGGTATTATTGGTTGGAGACATTCATGGCGGCCTCGTTGGCCGGCACCGTTATATGTATGGGCTTTTGGGTATGTTTACCCCTCAAATGAGAGAGACGTTATTTTCAGATGATTTAGAATATGGCCTCATTGACCTTGATTGGTATTGTAAGTTTGCAGGTAGGCGTCATCAGCCTAAGTTGAGGGTTACCCCTCCAGAGTTTACAGTTACAGAGTGGTACACTCGGGTTGAGTATAGAACTGAGTGCTGGCCACGCCTCTCTAGGTTTGGGGCATGACAGTAGATATTCAAAGTGAAGCAATACTCAAGACAAAAAACAAGGTGGAAAGAAAGGAAGCGAAGATTATCGATATGCGTAAAAGACCAACAAAAGGAAACAATCCTGGATGTTCAAGGGAGGAAGGTCCAAAATAAGCAAAAGATTATTTCTAAGAGGAACAACGTATCAAGCCTAAAAATGTGCTTGGATTATCAATCAAGCCTTCGAAGGAAGACAATGTCATGTCTGATGATTAGCACAGCTATCAAATCACGTCTTCAAAAGAATAGCTATTTACACCTACCATGATTCAAGGAACAACCATTGTGAAGCTTCACACTTATTCTTGAAAAAATCATCAATCAAGATTCATTCCAAATATCATCTCCTTTGGGTTGCCAATCTCTCAAGATATTTATCAATCTATATTCAAAACAGATCTTCACTCAACATATATTATAGTCGAAGACCAAGAAGAAGAAGGATATACTTTCGTCTAACCAACCTTAAGCTCTTTGTTCTACTTTTAACAAGCATTGCATTTCAATTTGAATTACTATATAATAATCTGAAATACGAAAGAGAGAAAAATATTGGTGAGATATTGTATCAAAAGAATTGAGAATTTACTTAGCATAAGAAATTAGTTGGTGTGCATAAGGTCACCAACGCAAGTGCACTCAGAGCATCAAGAAGCTTTGAAGAGAGAACCCTCTTGCAACCCAAGAGAACTGGACTAGGTTTCAAAATGAATCTGAGTCTGTGTAAAAATATTCTGCATCATTTAATTTTCTGCATCATCTATTCTGTACTCATTATCTGTTCTACTTGTCACTAATCTCGAAGTGGACTAACTGGCAAACTAGTCGACTAGTAATCAAAAAATTAAAAAGGGAAACAATTCATCCCCATTGTACTTTCAATTGGTATTAGAGTAGGTCTCAAATTTTATTCATTATTTACCAACTTGTGAGAAAAGATCATGTTAAATCTAGTAATTATTGGAGCCTTAATTCAAGAAGGAACATCGCAGGCTAGCCCTCCATATTTCAATAGACAACACTTTTCACAATGGAAGGTTTGCATGGAAATATATGCTAAATCTTATGATGTCAAAATATGACGTGTAATCAAGAAGTGAGATTATCCAATTCCAGCAGCGAAGTCTGATAAGAAAATGGATAGACAAGTATCTACTGATCCTGTAGATAGATATACATGATTATTCTGATGAAGAAATGACGGTGATATAGGTAAATTCAAAGGCAAGAAATCTTATGTATAATGTTATAAGTGAAGAAGAATATAAAAAAATTTGAAACTGCGATATGGCTAAAGAGATGTGGGATAAGCTGGAAGTAACTTATGAAGGAACAAGTAAAGAAAAAGAAACAAGGATAAACCTATTGATTCACGATTACGAATTCTTTCAAATGAAAGAAAGAGAATCTATTGAAGAAATATTTGCTCGATTCAACAAAATTATTGGAGATCTAAAAGTTTTTGGGAGACACTATTCAAGAGATGAACAATTTCAAAAATTTCTAAGATGCTTTCCCATAGCTTGGCAAACAAAAGTTATCGCACTTGAGTCTTAAGATCTGGATAAACGATCCTATTAGGAACTGCATGGAGATTTTATTACATTCGAGAAAATCCATCTCAAGAAATGAGAACATGAGGAAATAAAAAAGATAGTAGGATTTAAAGCTTCTATTGAAGGATCTGAAGATGATGAGGACAATGAAGCAGATGCCCTAGAAGAAGAAACTTTTATGATATCCAAAACTATGAGTGGACTAATGAGAAGATATAGAAATACCAAAAAGGGCAGAATATCTTCTAAGAGAACCAGACAATACAATGAACGAGATAAGAACGATAAGAAATTCTTTAAATATGGAAAATATGGATATGTGCAAACTAAATGTCCAGATCTCAAAAGAAAAGCCTCCAAAAGATGAATCTGGAAACCTTATAATATTATGGACATCATTAGAACTAACCAACAAGGACCCAAGCAAGCTTGGGTACCTAAAGGAAGGTAATAAAGTTATTTTGCAAGAATACCACAGGAAAAGTCAAAAAGAAAAATGGTACCTTGACAGTATGTGTTCCAGTCATATGACGCGTGATAAAAGGCTATTCAAAGAAGTCACAAACAAAGTTAAATGGGGTAATGTCAGATTTGGTAATGACTAAAAAGGAAAAATCATTTGTACCAGAATAGTTCTATTCAACAACAATTGTGATATTACAGAAGTCTATCTTGGGGATGGACTCAACTATAATTTTCTAAGCATAAGTCAACTATATGACTCTAGTATACAGTAAAATTCAAGAAAAAAGGATTTGCCATCGAGATGAATCAGGTAAAACCATTCTACCAGGAAAAATATATGGCAAGATTTGCATTCTTGACTGTATTGAAAATTTAAAAAATCATATTTATTTAGCATCTATTTCTGATGACCTCTGGCTTTGGCATAAGAAACTTGGTCATGCTAGCATGCACTTGATCAAAATATTGTCCAGACATGACTTAGTTATTGGACTTCCAAAACTCAATTTCTCTAGGAGTCATATCTATAATGCATGTCAGCTTGGTAAGAAAACTAGAACATCTTTCACATCCAAAGATATTGTTTCTGCATCCAAGCCCTTACAGTTATTACACATGGATTTATTTAGTCTACTAGAACTGATAGCATTAGAGGAAAATGATATGCATTTGTTATTGTTGATGATTACTCACATATTACATGAGTAATATTTATGGTTCATAAAGATGAAGGTTTAAAGAATTTTGAGATCTTTTGCAAAAAGTCTGAAAAAGAAAAAGGTCATCACATTTCAACTATACAAAGTGATCACGATGGAGAATTTCAAAGAAGATTATTTGAACAAAAGAAATCGAACCTTGCAAGACATGGCTAGAATAATGATATTGGAATATACTCTGCCAAATAACTTCTGGGTAGAAGTAGTTAGCACATCATGTTACATTCTCAAAAGATATCTCATTTGACCCCTCTTGAAGAAAACTCCATATGAGTTATGAAAAGAGTAGAGACCAAACATCAGTTACTTGCACCCTTTAGGGATTAAATATTTTGTTCACAACAATAGTAAGGACAATCTTGGTATGTTTGACCCGAAAAGTGATAAAGGTATATTTCTTAGATATTCTAATAACAGTAGATCATTCAAAGTATATAATAAGTGCAATATGTGCGTAGAAGAATCAGTTCATATTATATTTGATAATACTAACCATATGGCCGAGAATGGAACTATTGTGGGTGATAAAGACATGAATCAAGGATTACCAAGATCCATAAAAAAAAAACATAATTCTACTGAAAGCTGCAGCGAACCTTCAAAGCCGAGTAATGATTTTGTCAGTCAACTTGCTGAAGCGCAGAATGAGTCAACTACTCGGCAAGTGAAAGTAAACCCAAATGACTGGAGAAGTGACCCGAGTATCCTCAAAAATTTATTATCGGAAATCTAAATGATGGAATGAAAATCAGAGAAGCTTTCAAAAAGAAGGAAAACATTACCTTAATATCTCAACTAGAACCCAAAAAGGTGGATGAAGCTCTGAAAGACCCTAGCTGGATACAAGCCATGCAGGAAGAACTTGATCAATTCGAGAAATATCAAGTATAGAAATTGGTATCTAAACCAGCAAATGTTGCAATCATTGGGACTAAATGGGTCTTCCACAAATTGAATGAAGATAGAAAAGTAGTTAGAAATAAAGCATGATTAGTTGCACAACGCTATTCTCAGCAGGAAGGAGTCGATTATGATAAAACTTTCGCTTTGGTAGCTCGGCTAGAATTAATTCATATATTACTTGTTTATGCATTTTTAAAGGTTTTAAACTGTTTCAAATGGATGTTAAAAGTGATTTCTTAAATGGTTTTATTGATGAGGAGGTCTACGTATAATAATCTCTTGGATTTGAGAGCTCAAAATTACTTTACCATGTGTTTAAGTTGACTAAAGATCTATATGGACTCAAGCAAGCACCTAAAACTTGGTATGAGAGGATGAACTCATTTTTGATTGATCATGGATTCTCAAGTGCGAAGATTGATACTACATTATTTATCAAGAGATCTACAACAGGTAATCTCATTATTCAAATCTACGTTGATGATATTATATTTGGTAGTACTAACCCTGATTTGTGCAAGAAATTTTTAAATCTTATGCAAAGTGAGTTTAAAATGAATATGATGGGAGAATTTATATTCTTCCTTGGACCACGAACTCAACAATCAGAAAAGGCTACATTCATATGTCAGACCAAGTACACCAAGGAATTGACTCAAAAATTCCGTATGAGCAATGCCAAAGTACTTGGAACCCCTATGAGTCCCTCAAGCACTCTTGATAAAGATGAAGGAGGAAAACCAGTGGACGAATCCAAATATGATGGAATAATTGGATCACTATTGTATTTAACAGCTAGTCGGCCGAATATTATATTTAGTATTTTCAAATGTGCCAGGTTCCATTCAACTCCAAAGGAGTCCCATCTGACTGCAGCAAAGCGAATAATACGCTATCTTATTGAACCACATCTCATAGATTATGGTATCCTCACTCTAACAATTTTAAACGTAAAGGATTTTTAGATGCGGATCATGAAGGTGACAGGGATGACAGGAAGAGCACTAGTGGAATATGTCAATTACTAAAAAGATCATTAATTTTCTAGAACATTAAGAAACAAGGATCAGTGGCTTTGTCTATAACTGAAGTTGAACACATAGCCATTGAAAAATGTTGTGCGCAATCACTCTGGATGTCTCATCAACTGGGTGAGTATGATTTATCCTTTAAACCTATTCAAATATTTTGTGACAATTCTAGTGCTATATGTCTTTCTAAAAATCATGTGCATCACTCTAGGGCTAAACATATAGATATCAAGCATCATTTTATTAGAGATCATATCTACTCAAAGATGATATAGAGATTCTTCTTGTTAGTACTAATAATAATTTAGCGGATATTTTTACCAAGCCCGTGCTTAAAGAAAGTTTTGTACTTTACGAGATCTTATTTGTATTATTTCTTTTATCCCCTAAAATTTAGACCCTCTTACTTATGATGAAGATTTTTTTCCTGCCAAATATTCGCTTATTCCTATAATTATGTCAGACTCATTAATTAGGCGCCTCCATCCAGTCCCTTTTCACACCTCTTTCCCGATTCTCTAGACAGGAAATCAAATCGCCACATCTTTTCATTTACGCCTTTTTTCTTTCCCAACACTCAACTATCACTTCGATTTTATTACCCTCTTGTTATAAGAGATCTCGTCTAATATCTCTCACTCACATTATTTTTTTCGCCCTCAATCCTTTCTTCCTCTCAAAAATGGCAAAAATTCCAAAAACACTATAGCCTCTACTTGAAAAAATATTTGTTCCAAGGCAAAATCTTCCTCCCAACCACCAGAACCAATCAATGTAGGCTCAGACCACTTTGAAGAATTTTCTTTTTCAAAAGCAGAACTCTATGATGATGCTCGAAGCTTGAACGACAGAGTACTAGGAAAGTGTCCTATGGAGGAAGTTCTCGAATCACTCACACCAAAGAATCCAAAGATGGACTTGAACAGTTCTGTTGAGTCCGATATCAAATTCTGGGATACCCCGAATAAGGATACATTTATTACCTTCAAAGAGAAATCAATCGCTCATGGCAAAATTATTGATCCGGTGGACATGGAAAGTCTCAACTACAAAGTAAAGGGACTTTTCGAATTTCAAGGTTGAATTGTTTTTCTTTCTCTACCCCCTCAAAAAGTTTATGAAACCCTTGTTCGTATGTTTTATGAAAATCTTTGTTCCCTAAAACTCGGTAAAGTTGAGTCTTTAGTTCTTGATCGACATATTGTTCTTGACTGTGCTACCTTGAATTCCATCTACTAATGCAACAACAACAACAACAACCTAGTAAAATTCCACTAATGGGGTCTGGGGAGGGTAGTGTGTACGCAGACCTTACCCCTACCCCGAAGGAGTAGAGAGGTTATTTCCGAAAGACCCTCGGCTCAAGAAAATAAAAAGACAGAAGGACAAAAGGAGACAATATTAGTATCACCACAACAATCATAGAAAAAATAGGAACCCCATGAAATCCAGAAGAAAGATGCAAAGCAAAAGCGATAGCTAGTAAATAGGTCTTGCACTGAAAAGCAAAATAGTAAGACATAACATTGCCACTAGCTATCTTAGATAAAAACCCTACCTGGCTAGTCTCACAATGGTACGAAGTAAGACAAGACTCAGCTATCTCCTAACCTACAACCCTAATACTCGACCTCCACATCTTCCTATCAAGTGTCATGTCCTCGGAAATCTGGAGCCTCGCCATATCTTGCTTGATCACCTCTCCACAATACTTCTTAGGCCGCCCTCTACCTCTTCTCGTCCCCTCCACAACCAGCCGCTCACACCTCCGTACTGGAGCATCTGGGCTTCTCCTCTGAACATGTTCGAACCATCTAAGCCTCTCTTCCCACATCTTGTCATCAATGGGAGCCACGTGCACCTTCTCCCGAATATCATCATTCCTAATTTTATCTATCCTAGTGTGCCCGCACATCCACCTCCACATCCTTATTTTTGCTACTTTCATCTTCTGGATATGTGAGTTCTTAACGGGCCAACACTCAGCCCCATACATTATGGCCGGTCTAACCATCGCTTTATAAAACTTACCTTTGAGTATCTGTGGTACTCTATTGTCACACAGGACTTCAGATGCTAACCTCCACTTCATTCATCCTACCCCAATATGGTGTGTGACATCCTTGTCGATCTCCCCTCCCCCCGGATAACCGAACTAAGGTACTTGAAGCTATCTCTACTCAAGATGACTTATGACTCAAGCCTCACATCCACACCCACTTCCCCCGGCTCAGCGCTAAACTTACACTCTAGGTATTCCGTCTTCATCCTGCTCAGCTTGAAACCCTTAGACTCAAGTACCTATCTCCGAACCTCCAGCCTCTCATTAACATCGGCTCGCGACTCATCAATCAGAACTATGTCATCGGCGAATAGCATACACCATGGCACCTCCCCTTGAATATGGTGTGTTAACGCATCCAACACCAGGGCGAATAAGAACGGACTGAGCGCAGAACCTTGGTATAACCCCATTACAACCGAAAAATGCCCAGAGTTGCCTCCTACTGTCCTAACCGAGTCTTATCCCCATCATACATGTCCTTAATCACCATAATGTAGGGAACCGACACACCTTTTGCCTCCAGACATCTCCATAGAACTTCTTTGGGAACCTTGTTATATGTTTTCTCTAGGTCAATAAATACCATGTGCAGATCCTTCTTCCTATCTCTGTACAGTTCCACCAACCTCCTAACAAGGTGTATAGCTTCGGTAGTCGAACGAACCGGCATGAACCCGAACTGGTTGTCGGATACAAACACTGTCATCCTCACCCTCGCTTCAACTATCCTCTCCTACACTTTCATGATATGACTCAGTAATTTGATACCCTATAATTATTACAACTCTGGATATTACCTTTGTTCTTATACAATGGAACCACCGTACTCTACCTTCACTCATCCGGCATCCTCTTCGCCTTAAAAATAACATTAAACAACCTAGTCAACCACTCCAAACCTGCTCTCCCCACACACTTCCAAAATTCCACAGAAATCTCGGCTGGCCCGGTCGCTCTGCCCATACTCATCTTACGCATAGCTCCCATGACCTTCTCAACCTCGATACGCCTGCAGTACCCAAAGTCACGGTGACTCTCGGAATGCCCCAATTCTCCTAGCACAATATCCTGATCCCCATCTTCTAATGCAAGTGTTCCGAATTTTCAGTGTCCTTCAAAAATTCGTGGTTAGAAGATTTTTAAATCTCCTTTGACCAAGAAAAAAGATGTATAGCCCTCTAATTCCCTTCTAAACCAATTAGGGTCCACTTATGTGAACTTTGAGACCTGAGTCCTTGCTAATAGTGTAGCCACCACCATTCTTCCTCGAACAGGATCCTTCTCAACCTTCCCTTAAAGGAATACCTTTCTAGTCTACTGTATATTGACCAAACACAAAGTTAAACTATCTTCCTAGGTTATCAACTTCATGATTGAAAGTGTTGATGACCTTACAACTCTTCCTTATGTGTAACGACCCGGCCAATTATTTTTATTTTTAGATCCTCATTCCCCTATTTAAGACTTTATGTATGTTCTTTTACTATTTCATGACCTGCTTGGATAGTTGGTTTAGTTTTGGAAGGGTTCAGGTTGAATTTGGAACACTTTGTTCCATAATAGTGTCCTAAGGTGGCCAAGTTTGACTTAATTCAACACATTGACTAAAAGACCTCAAAATTGGTATTTGAAGGTTCCAATAGGTTCATATGATAATTTTGGACTTGTGTGCATGTTCGGATCGAGTTTCGGGTGGATCGAGTGCGTTTCGACACTTATTATTGAAAGTTGGCGTCTTGAAGGTTTTAGAGTTTTCTAAGTTTGATTTGAAGTAGACTTTGGTACTATCGATGTCCGTTTGGGATTTAGATTATTGGAATAGGTTTGTATGGTGATTAGTGACTTGTGTGTAGAATTTAGCTTCATTCCGAATTATCTAAGTATGGTTTATCACGTTCAGAGTTGGTTGAAATGAGTTTCAAGTTTAGAAGTTGATTAATTTGGTTTTGATGTGTGATTCTTGGTTCCAATGTTATTTTATGAGTTCATAGACTTTGATTAGGTTTTTAGTATATTTATGGACTTGTTGGTACATTTGTACGGGGTCCCGGGTGGCTCGGGTGAGTATCGAACCACCCGGAGCATAGTTGAAGTTGGCTGAAATTGCTGGTGTGCTGATGTGCTTCGCGATCGCGAAGGTTGTCCCGCGATCGCAAAGGAGGCTGGAGAGGAGTTTGGGATTTTACTCTTCGAACGTGAGGAGGTCCTCGTGAACACGATGGAGGATATGTTCCTTCTTCGCGAATGCATAGACATCTTCGCGAACACAAAGAAGATTGAGGCTGAGCTGGGCTGGAAGGCTGTTGGACTTCACGAACGCAAATGTATGGGGCGTGCTGGTTATCACGAATGCGACGCGTCTATTGAAAATGCATAGAGGAAGGATCTGGGCTGAGACAGCTTGGCCTTAGCGATCGCGAGGGACCTTTCACGATCACGAAGAAGGGTTCATTAGGCAGATTACCTTTTATTCACAGTCACGATCACGAAGAAGGGTTCACGATCACGAAATGCATAGAGCTCTTTTGAGGAGTATTTTTATCAAACATCACAAGGTATATGACTTCTACCAATTGTGAGTTAAATACATGGATTATAGGTAGATTTTAACATAGAAATTGTGGAATTTTAGAATTTTTGTTGAAGAACCTAGGGTTTGGTAAAAATGGTATTTGACCACGAAATTGATTATGGAATTTGGAATAGATTATATATTTGAGTTCGTAATATCATGGTAACATTTATCTTCGAAAATTTTCAGAATCCGGGGATGTGGCTCACGGGTGACTTTTATGGACTTTCTGAATTGGGTTGAAAAATAACTTTAATAGTTAAATTATGAACTTTTGAGCATATATTGATTGGTTTGTACGATATTTGGCTAGTTTTTAATTGCTCAGTGTTGATTTGCGGCAACTAGTAAGGTTTAAGAGCCGAGTAGTGAGCTTGGAAGCGAGGCAAGTCTCTTTCCTAATCTTGTAAGAGGCAATTATCCCCGTAGGTGTATTAATTATCGTTCGCTACGTGTTATGGGAGCTATGTACGTGCGAGGTAACAAGAGTCCGTACGTAGATAGATTTATGTTTATATCCAGACAAACTTAGATTCATATCATGCTTTAAATGTGCTATTTGAATTAATCTTATGTATTTGATTTCTATAATTTATGAATGAGATTGAGACTAGAATAAAATATTAACCGAGTCTCTTACTTTAGAAATTGGGAAATATTTGATGAATGGTACTTCTGTGTCTTCTCGACTCGCATGTATTTTCGCGATCGAGAGAGTTTTTTCTATTTTTGTAGGATCGGGTCATTCTCCCTAGTAGTGTTGTAAATTATTCTTATGGGATCGAATCGTTTTCCTCGTCAGTGTTGTAAAATATTCTTATGGGATCAGGTTATTCGCCTCGGCAGTGTTATAAATTATTATTATGCGATCAGGCCGTTCACCTCAGCTGTATTGTGAGTTATTTTATGGGACTGGGGCGTTCGCCTCGGTAGTATTGTGTAACACTATTCCTATAGGATCGGGCCGTTCACCTTGGCAGACTCGTGCGTAACACTTAGGAGTTGATTTGGTATTGATATCAATTGGTTTTGTGCCATCAAGGCCAGTTATGGTGGTTTAGTGATTTCGTAACAATCCATGTTTGGAAATTTATCATTAAAGCTTATTTGTTTCATTGTTACTTGTTGTATTTCATACCTGTCTACTTTATGTATTTTATTATTTTGACCACTAGTAAGTGTCAAGTCGATCCCTCGTTAGTTTTTCTTCGAGGTTGGACTAGATACTTACTGGGTACGTATTGAATTATGTACTTATACTACACTTCTGTACTGATTGTGCAGGTACTAAGACAAGTACTTCCAGTGGTCATACGAGGGCATGGACGTATCACACAGAGTCTTAGTGGTGAGCTATCTTCCATACTTCGATCTGCAGTACCCAGAGTCTCCCTCTTATCTTATTTATTGTTTCTATCTATTTTATTTAAGACAATAGTTGTAATG